ATAAGACTTTGCAAGTAACATTTTCATAAATAAATCATCAGTACCATTATTCTGTAACCTGACCTACATAGTCAAACAAAAACACAAAGACTTGGCAAGTAAAGAATATAATGAGAATCATCAATGCCAAGTTTCTGTCACCTAGCTTACATAATTCAGTTACTACATCATTATCCACAAGCATTCCAAACAATGCATACTATATTACTATGTCAAGATGAAGAAATTAATTGATTTATGGAATACCTCAATTTCCTGCCTCAAGTTATGAATATCCTTATCACTTTTGCCATGCTTGGGAATAAATTTCATTGCAACGGTCTAAACAAAAAAAAAAAACATTGTGTAGCAAAGATAATAACAATTGGGAAAAAGTATACTCCCGTAATAACCAATTTACTTGCAGTTGGGATGTTCAGTAACAAAAACACTAAAAGGGGAAATACCTGGCCTGTATACTTTCGCCTCCCTTTGTATACCTTCCCGAAGGATCCCTCCCCTACAAGCTCTATGACGTGATAATTCTCCACGCCCATCTCCTGTAACCTTTAAAGCGCTAACACGTCAAATCTAGTGAGAAATCGTGTATCGAACAGAAGTACACTCAGAAACCTGTCGAGCACTCCACTTGTCGTATGGCTAGACGAATACGAGTTCAAGTGTTTCGGACACGTCTGGACACGACAGCGAACCGCACAAGCTTCAGTGATGCTAAATATTATTCACAGTGAAGTTTTTATTCGGCAGCGGGGAGAAGTTGAGCAGTGAATGAGTTGGTACTGTGACGGCGGCAGATATGAATCCGGCGGTGTTGATGGGCTTTTAGGTGCTTTTCCTGCGAAGGAGGGCGGAGAGGAATTGTGGAGGCGACGGAGATGGTAGGGCTAACTCGATGCTACTGCTGCTCGCACAGATTTGTCCCTTCTCCACCTGACACGTGTATTTTCCGTTTTGTTTTTCCTCCCCTTTCCCTCTTAATCCTGAAATTTGAAATTCAAATGTTTTTTTGCAATGATTCAAAATGTTTTTTTAATGAAAATTGCTTATTTTAAAATTAATAAATCAAACACCATTACAATAGATTCAAGATAATTGCAGCCCCAATCGGAAGCTCAATGATTAGACTTAGCATTTGTCACTCACATATGAGCCACAAAAGACGTTCAATATAATAACATACAAATGCAAGCTTAATTCAATCAAAATGTTAGTACAAGTATAAAGCTTTGTTTTTTTACATTTTAAGTGCTTTTTTCGATTGGTCCTTCTTGTATTGGAGAAGAGATCAGGAATCGAAAGTGTTTCAGATGGACATTTGAAGTCTTAATTTAATACGTTACGTACAATATTGGGGTTAAAAATGGAAGGTGATATGAGAAAGTCAAGTCATTATGAAGTGGTTCGGCTCTGGTTGTTGGACTATAATTTGTTAAAGGCTTGGCCCCAGATCCTTGCTAAAGATTTAATATCATATTTCCGTTGAAACATGTTACTCCAACCATTAAAGAATGTTTTTTATGAAATCGCCTATACTAATCTCTAAATGATCATAAATGATGACTCGTTTGAATCACACTGATGGGGAATACTGTAATACACTTGATCAGTTCCGACCGAGGCCGAGTCTAAGACCACTTTTCAGATCATCGTGATAAGTTCAAAACTGCTGTCGAAACTGAGGTCAACCCTTGTTGAGGTAGACGGCAATTCCAACATTGTGGTCGAGCTTAAAGTCAGCGGGCATGTCACGAGGTGAAAAGATCAACAAAGCCTTCACGTTGTGAGCCGAGTTTACTCCCTCTTAGCTAAACACGATACATTCGAGCTTGACCTCTACCTCTTAGCACGAGACCTCGCATGAAGATTGTGGACTTAGACAATTCAACACTTGGGTCCTGCATATGCCTGTGATTGTGTCGCCAATGTGACACCTGTCCAGGGCTAACGTCACTCAAACAGTTACGCGCAGAAGATTCCAGACTTACACGTGTGGCTTATTTATGCATTCTAGTTCATAAAGGACAAATTTTGGTGCAACAGTACCAGTCAGCCAGATGTTGATTATTATCTCACCAATTAGCCTTACATGCGTAACTATTTTATTAGGACAGTTGATTTTACTTCGTTGTCCAAGCGTTTCCTTTTGCACTATAAATATTATCTTCCAGCTTTTGAAAAAGAATCGCCATTTATATTTTTAAGCATGTTGTTACTTGCAGAATTTTATACTCGATCTATACATAGCATATTTTCCAACCCTCTATCTATTTTGCGTACCCCTAGGTCGGTAAACCCATCACACACAATACAGGTAAATTGTGTGTGTAGAATTATAGCATTTTTTGCACAATTTCTAGTGGTGAGTGTAGGTAATGCCAGAAAAGTAAAAGACAAATATATAATGGGGGAAATTCCTTGACAAAGAAGGGGATTATCTATTCTTGCAGGGATGACATGTATGGGAAACTGTCACCAACATGCAAAGTTTTTGGCGGATGAATATACTTGTGTGCTCACTTGCAACAAGTTCACACAATAAAGATTTGATAAGTCTATTAATAAATATGTGCATCCCACCGGAGTCGAGATATGTTAATCTCAATTGCGATGGATCTTGTTGGGGTAAAGATAAGGATGTTGAGGTGGGTGGACTGATATGCGACCACAAGAGAAATGGATTAGTGGCTCTATCATGAATGTTGGGAGAACTGGTAGTTACCAAGCGGCGCTTTGGGACTCTGAGGCACGAGCTTTCGTTGGCTTGGGATCTAGATTTGAATAAAGTGATCATTGAAGTGAATTCAGAGAGTATGTTAAAGTTGTGAAGGAAAGCAAAGGAAAAAAATTTAATACTATTGGAATGCTTATTCAGGATCGTCAAAAGCTACTTGCAAAAGAAAGATTCACCAATCACAACACACTTTTCATGAGGGGAACATCTGCGCAGACAGATTGACTAATGTGACACATCAAGCTCTTAAGGGTTAATTATGTTACAAGAAGCTTCTGCTTGGATTAAACGTTTTCATTCGGAGGATGCTAATAGATTATAGATTATTAGGTTTAAATTTTTCTTTTTGGGTCTTCCTTTACGATGCATAAAAAATACATGAATTTCATCGCTATAAAAGAAAAGAAAATTAAACTATTCATCACTCCAAGTGATACAGTTCACCCGTCTTATAAAAATGGATGAAGGTAAATTTACGTAGAATAAACAAATGATAATTTTGTGTTAGAGGTCTACACAAAGTAGAGAAAAAATGTTAAATACCACTTTTTAGCTTCAAAATGGAATGTTGTTTTTTCTCAGGCGGAGTTGAGACAATTAAGAGCCTGTTATGTAACTCGATTTTTGACTTATTAGGCTCATTAGCCATTTTTTCACCGAAAACGTAACTTTTGATTTCGCACACTGAATAATGTAACAATAAAAAAAAGTAAGGTTGAAGTTACTTTTTTTGCTATATTGACTGAAGTTGCTGTAAAAGACTATTTTAGCTACTTTTCATATAATTTTTTATTTCTTTAATTAATAAAATAAAATTCAAATATTACTTTTTTCATGAATCAGCATAATCAGCTAATTCAGTCATTTCATCCAGGACTTCATAAATATCAGCAGAATAAGCCGATTCAAACAATTTTGATATTACCAAACGAGCTTTAAATAAAGAAAGCATGCAAACTTTTATGGAAGAGAAGAAATGTTTTATTCATGTGGGCCTTAAGAATCTCAAATGTTGATTTGTCGTCTACTTACACTATCACACGAGCGTCTCATTTTTTAGTTCGTAGTTTTTATGTAGGGAGTGTAAAACTTACATATCTTCTTATTTATTTTAATTTTCATCTTTTTATATTACCTTTAGTGTTTAATACACTTTTTAATCCATTCTTGCTCCTATAATCTCATGTAAAGTGCATGCGTGGGCATGGCCATAAATATTATCTACATTTTATTTGTATCATTTTCTTCTTTTTCATTTTTTCCTACTACCATTTTTATATATTATATTAAAATAATTATTCTATTTTTATCCTCCCTAAACCACTCGGAGTGGTGTAGGATTAGAAGTCCAAAATGTTAAAAGTGGAATTTTTAGACTCCTAAATCCTTGCCGTTGTTGGCTAAATGGGGGTAAAAATGGAGAAGACGATGACGGAGGGGGTATATTTGAAGGGTGTCAAGGAGGGGATAAAAGAAAAAAGGAAGGGGGGCGACCAACTTGTGTGCAACAGAGGGAAAAGGGAAAAGAAAGAAAAAAAAGAAGAGAAAGGATGGAGGCAAAGTTGCTTATTTTGTGCGAATGATGTAATGCAAATGTCATCCTTGCATCATAATAACTTGATTTTTTTAAACTATATAACTTTTTTATTTTTTCTCCAAATTTTTCAAAAAAAAAAAATATCGAAATTCATAAATTTTTATGATCTTTCATATAATACCAATATGTAATATATAAAATGAAAAAAAAAAATCTGAAATTTTAACTGTTGAATACTTCATAATCAAACTTTACTTGAATTAAATTCATTTTTTATTAACCGAAAAACGTTAAAAAATTTATGAAATTTATTTATTTTCACATCGAATGTGTCTTTTTTATTTTATAATTATTTAGGGAAAAAATTAAAAGGAAAATATTACTTATAATAATTTAATTAATTTTTTACTAAATTGATATGTAAAAAATATTCAGAGAGTATTTTATGGACGGTGTTCAAATGAAGAGAAGTAAGAATCAACACACTTTTTTCATATGAACGGAGTCCATTTTTTTATATTTAGACTCACACACCATTCCAAATGGTCTTATGTCACATTGTCACCTGCCATGGATTTCAAATTCACTATACTACCCCGTATATATATTATACTCGTAGTATTTATTTATACCAGCCGCCAGCGCATGTTTTGTGTATCATGCAAAATTGCAAATGAATATTCCTTTTTTTGAAAAGCAAATGAATATTCTTTGAATGTAAATTAGAGAAATAAATTAGCCACGCACATCTGGTGCGTTTTAGTAGGCCCCGTTAACCCGCGAGTCAACGCCGGCGACTCTTTCGATCGTTCACACAGAAGTGGATGCAAGTGCATCCCCAAATCACACCCTTGAACCCTAAATTGATTTGCATTTCCCCACACTAAACCCGATCCATTCCCTGTAATTTTCTCACAAAACACCTAGGAATGAGTACTCCATATTTCTGAATGGAAACCCTAACCCTACCCCCGGTCTGTTCATCCCGATCTTCCGAACCCGTCTTTCTGCAAATCCATTTCACCCTCTTCTTTTCCGGAGGATGATCCATCAATGCCCTGAATCGTCTATCGTTTTATCACCACACTGTTTGTATTTGTAAGCTCTTCCAATTTCCCCCTTTTACGCTAACAGTATTTTTCGTTTGCGTCACATAAAATTAGGGGGAATTAACTGAAGTGTACTCATACGATGCTTGTATTTTAGCAATTTGTAAGTGTGTAGATATATAGCAATATACTACTGGGGGTTGTAATTATTTGTAGAGTGTCAGTGTGTGTGCGAGTGTGTGTGTGTGTGTGTGCGCTGGGAAGAAATGGGGAGCACGGAAGTAGAACCAGGAGTGATTGATTGTGGTGTTGGGAGTATTGTTTGGGTTCGGAGGAGGAATGGGTCATGGTGGCCGGGTAAAATTCTCCGGGCTGATGAGCTTTCTGCTACTCATGTGATGTCTCCTCGATCAGGAACTCCAGTAAAGCTTCTTGGGAGAGAAGATGCCAGCGTGTAAGTTGGTTTTACTCAACTTCTCAACACAACTTCTATCATTTTTGCCTGACATTTTGAATGAAGTAGAAGTGTAGAACAATAAATTAGTGGGTACAGTTAGGGATGTGCCCTTTTATTGTGGGTAACTTCCACATACTTTATAAGTATCTGTGTAAAGCATCTTTCAATGTTCTTATTTGAATTTCCAGGTTTTAGACTTTTAGGTAATTGCATGCTATTAGAAACTAATCATTGATGAAAGTAATAAGTTCAATGCTGAAGAGTGATGACTTTGAAAGGAGAAGAGAGAATAATGGAAGAAGTTTGGTTTGGCTATAATATATTTATCGGAGTTATATAGGGAGTACTTCACATTAGTGTTGGATGTTTCACGCGTCATTAATTAATACTCCGTATCTTAGTTAGCTACCAGATTACAGAAAAAAGGGAAAGGCAATATAATGGAACTCGTTAATGACAATCTTTAGAATTCCTTTTTAGCTTGAAACTAGGTATGGTACTATGTTTCTGATGAAGAAATAAAGAGTTGCATCATACGTAGTATTATAGGAAAATAGAGAGAACTGGTCGTTGAGAAGGTAACTGAAGGGGGGGGGGGCAACGGAGGCTGTAGTGGAATAATTAATGCTTCAAAATGCTTTTATAGGGTTATAACTCTTATTTCATCACTTATTATTTTGCTACTCGTGAAGTAATTCTTTCTCTAAAACTGAAAGTGTACAATTAGTTTTTTTGGCTCCTATTTACGCTTTATTGCAACATGTATTGCTGTTTAATTTTTTAGGGATTGGTATAACTTGGAGAAGTCGAAGCGTGTGAAGGCTTTTAGATGTGGAGAGTTTAGTGATTGTATTGAACGAGCTGAAGCTTCTCTAGGTATGCCTCCCAAAAAAAGGGAGAAGTATGCACGCCGTGAAGATGCAATACTTCATGCTCTTGAACTTGAGAGGGAACTAGTAGTTAAAAATCATGGAAACAAAAGTTGTTCATTGAATACCAAGATTAGTAAAACATTCGTACAATCTAAAAATCAAGATGGAGAACAGTTCCACTTGAAATCCCATCAAGCTTTCGAAAGAGATGATCCAACGCTCAAGGGTGGGAACAAAATTGATTTTTGCGGTGTATATATAGCCCAAATGCAAAACCATCAAATTATGGACGACGATCCCAGTGTACTTCATAGGGTGAGAGGTTTGCAGAATAAACATCCTATTTCTTCAAATGGTGACCCCAAAGATCCCTGTGATAGCAATTTTCTTATTGAAGGGAGTCCCAGAAATGAAGGCATAGACAACGGAGATAAAGAGAATTTGTTAGCTGAGGAGGGAATTCTTGTGGCGAAGCATTACAAGCGCCGTCCTCTTGTTCAAGTATTGCAGACTACTGAAAAGTTTCCAGTTTCTTCTTACCTCCAGCCTGATGCGAGCTCTTCTTTTGTGTCTGTTTTTGAGGAAGGCCAATATGGAGTAGACCATATAAAAAAAGCAAGGTATATGTACCTAGCAGCATCTGAATCTGGAGATAATTTTGGTGGTAAGAAGATTGATCTCTCCTCTCTGACTCATGAGATATCAACTGGTCATCAGCAGGCAGTTTTATGTGTAGAGAACACTTCTGTATCTACACAATACCCTGAAACTGATTCTCCTGAGAATGATTCTCAAGAATCAGTTACAGATGATGATATGGCTACACCCTCAGGTCTATTTTCACTTGTTTTATAAAAAAACTATATAATACTTATTCACATCTTTTCCTTAACAGTTACAACGACTATCTGCCAAAATTTTGCATTTCTTATAAACAAAAATTTGATCATTTCACTAGCCTTTATTAAAATAATAGAACACGGGGTCATTGCGTTCTTTTAAAATTAAGCTTATTTTTCTTCTCTTTTGATTTTTATTTACTTGAGAGTGCAGGAGGTGCCACTGAATCTTTTGAATTCCAACCTAAATATTTGGGAAGATCTGAAGCACCACCAGGTAAACATGGAAGCACACGAAGTCACGAACTTGATGACATTTCAGGATCCGATTCTCGTCGTTTACTTGAAGACAAGACTATCACTGGCCTCAATGCCGCTGTTCAGGTCTTGAAATGGAAACTTAAAGGAAAAAGGAATAATCGGAATCTTGTTAAGAGGTCTCTGGATACATTTGATACGAATCGTTTCAGAACAGCCTCTTACATGACTAGTAGATCTACCTCATGTGGTGGTGGCGGTGATGGAAGCAAAGATACATCATTCTTAAAAAACTTAAAGGCACCAATAATTGATCGGGACTTCATTAATGGGACAACATTGGTAGATGTGGATTTGAAAATGCAAGGAAGTCACCATGGGCAGCGAGTGCCCATGATTTTGTTAATGAGTAAGGTAAATAGTGGATTGGCAATAGTTGGGCACCCCATCCAAGTTGAAGCTCTTGAGGAGAGTGTGACTTTCGAAAGCTTCTCAGGCGCATCTGATGTTTCTCCTGAATCACTTCAACCTGTATGGAGGACTGCTCGAAGGACATCCAGTACTCGAGTTCCACGGCCTCATTTTTTAATATCATCAGGGTTGGATGGTGCTGAAAATGCCAAACCACCTCTAACCAGTCCGTCAAATTGTTTTGGACAAAAAAAGAGCCTGACAAGGAAGAACATTCCTCACCTTGCTCCTGTAGCAAAGATATTCTCTAGAAAGGCACGTAAAAGAATCAGCTTGTCTTCTTCTAATCATCAGAAGAAGATAAAAACTCTTTCATCCCTTTCTTCCACACAGAAGCAGAGCAGCACTGATCCGAAACATATATTTCAAGAGGATGGGCTAATGAGACCAGATAACGTGTCCACTATTGTTGCTTGTATTCCAGTGAAGCTAGTATTCAGTCGCTTAAATGAGGAGTTTGTGGGTCGGTCCAAATAAGGACACTGCCCGCCATAAAGTCAAGATACTAATAATTGCAGTAGCTGTAACTATTGTTACCAATGAGCAATAATATATATATATATATATAACTGATTATAATGCACCACCATTCATCTATTTCTGGGTGTTTTTAATCCAGGTAGTGTGTGATGTGTAATTTGTGCTTATCATTTGTGAACAGTTTGAGAGCCAGCTGTTGCTGCTAGGTTCGAAGAACATATACAGGAACTTTGCATGGATTATTATTCGCTCACATGTACATGGATGAGTTTGTAGTTCTGTTGTTGTATTGTCTACAGTTATGAACACGATACATTATTAGGTAGTTGTACTTAAGACCTATAGATAAATGTAGAGGTGATTTGTATTTCAGATAAATCTACTGTGTAGACAGACTGCTTTTGCTTGAACTTGATCTGAATCCTATCTTGTGTAGTTGACTTTCTTCAGCAGGTCTTGCCTTACCTATCTCATTTTAGAGTCAGTTTATAATTTTATATGGTAAAACGGTAGTACCTATGACTCTGAGAGCATAGTATTAACTATTAAGGAACTCACGCAGACATACAAATATATACGGAGTATTGGCATGGGTCGGTTTTGATCTGGTTCAGGTTAGAAGTTGACTCGGGCTGGGCCGGGTCGGGCCTAGGCCCGGGCGGGCCGGCGGTTGTGGATAGGTGGGCCCAGGACCGGCCCGGGTAGCCATCGGGTCCGGGCCGGGCCTCAGTTTTGGTTATTTTTTTTGCTTACCTTCCTATCCCTGACCCCCCTCACCCCCACCCCCCAAACCCCTCCTAAACATCAAGCCCAACCCGGGTGGAGCCCAAAAAAATGAAAAAACAAAAAAAAAAAAACATTTGGCCCGAACCGGGCCTGGGCCCAGGCCAACCGGGCCTCCTTTTTACCCACCCGAGCCCGCCCCGCTTTAGATAAATAACCGGGCCTTAGACCGGTTTTGGGCCTGAAGAACCGGGCCTGAAGACCAGTAGCGGGCCGGGCCGGGTGGCCCGAACCGAGTCCAAGCCTAGTTCAGGTTCTTATCAAAGTAATACTGGTTTGGATCTGGGCTGGGTGATAAAAGGTTCTGATTTAGATCCTACCAGACTTTGTAATAAATTATACTCCGTACTACCTCTGTCCCGCTATGAGCTTATGATTGTCTCATTTTATCTTATTGGTCCTTCATATGAAGATTGTCTCATACCAAATTTGATAAAGTTTGTGTGACTCTAAATCATTCTTACTTTATTTTTACTTTATCAATTCAATATCTACCACATAAACCACTCTTTATTAATTTGCGTGTCACTCGCTCTTGTCCTATTGTTAGCGGGACGGAGGGAGTAATAAAGGTTTAAAATGTTTGTCCCGGTAGTCCAGGGTTGGAGTGACGTTGGACTAGCTCTCAGTACTGGTTCAAAATCAGAAACTAGGTTGGTTATGGACAGAAAGATCAGTTGTTAGTGGTATTAATTAGGCCTGGGATTGGTTCGGTTCTTGTTAAAATTCGATGGAACCATATAAAAATCGTAGGCGTTAAATTCGGTTCAGTTCTAGTTTAAAATGTAGTTAAATTCGGTTCGGTTCTAGTTAAATTCGGTTCGGTTTTACCTTTTTCGGTTCCTTATAAAAATTTATTGTCCTCCTAAAATGAACACATTTTACCTTCAGTTACATAAAAAAATTCAAATTTTAAATCATGAAATTATGACCATTACATTATACATGCATGATATCTCAATGTTCAAATATAAAAAAATGCAAGTACAACATTAAATTTAAACATAACAAAAATCTCGGTTTAAAATAGGCATCAACTGTCAAGCAAAAAAGGTTCATAGATCCAAAGTAAACATCTAATAGCAGGTAATTCAACCCCAAAATAATATTTTTCTACTCGTAATGCACAATTAGTAAAAAGTACGTAGAAATAAACAACATAATCAACACAATATTAATTCCTTTTGAGGTGAACTCCAATAACAAATAATATTACAAACAAAGTGAACTAAAGTATTAAAATAATAACTACTCGGATTGACCTGGTCCACAATATATAAGGTATATTATGCAAAACAAATATTTTTTACAAGAATTTTCTGCTCGGAATGTCGTCTGGCCACCTCCATTTGAGGTGCTTCTGTAGAGAATTTTTTGATAAAATTTTGTGAGCGTGTTCTACATGAAATGTAGATTATATGTACCAAATTTTATCTTAAAATTAAATCGGGAAGTGAGTTAAATAAAATATTGAAAAACATTGAAAGATGGGCAAAAGTGTAAAAAACAAGCATCATTTATTGTCATTCCTTAATTCTTGTGCCGGTCAAAGTTTGCAATTCAATTCGGGACGGAGGGAGTATATTTTGGCGTATTGCTTTTCAATAATTTATTTAACTGACTTCCCTGTTACATTTTAAGTTCAAATTTGTGGACATAATCAATATTTCATGAACAAAAAGCTCACAAAATTTCATTAAACAATTCCACCTAGAAGCACCTCAAATGAAGATTACTCATGCAATGTATAAGAAGTTCGGTTCTTGGCTAGGAACCGGGACCGAACTGGAACCGAACCGGAAAAAGCTGAACTCCGAAATTGTAGGAACCGAACCGAACCGAACCGAAATTTCCGGTTCGAATCGGTTTTCCCGGTTTTACGGTTCCAAGGCCCAGCCCCAGTATTAATCTGGGTGTGGGAATATGGCCCGAGAGATTTTCATACCAAACTACTCCCTCCGGTTCTGAAAGATCTTTACACTTTCCATTTTTAGCAGTACCAGAAAGATCTTTACGCTTCCTTATTTGCCTTATTTGGCAAATAAATCTACACAAAACAGTGCCAAACAGTGTCAAGGGTGTTCGGTTAGGAGCATATCAACCTTTTTGGGCTGATTTGACCAATATTTGGCCTTTTGACCAAACCAATCAACTAATAAGGGTGTTTAGTTAAAGGCTAAAGGGTCAAATAGGTCCTTGTACCCTTTCAGATTGCTGAATTTGCCCCCTCAACCCAAAAAAACTCCAATTGGCACCCTGAACTCGATAAAAATATTCAAATTTCACTTTTTGCAGGTGTCAATCCGGTCACCGCCACGTCACCCCGGTAGGGTGCCAACTGTGCATGTGACGTGGCAACTTAGGGGGTCAAATAAGCCCCTGAACCCGATCGAATCGTTCAATTTACCCCCTCAACCCTAAAAAATGTCAAAACATTTTTAAGGGTTGAGGGGGTAAATTGAACATTTGAGTCGGGTTCAGGGGCTTATTTGACCCCCTAAGTTGTCATGTGACATGCACAGTTGGCACCCTACCGGGTGATGTGGCGGTGACCAGCTTGTGACCTGCAAAAAGTAAAATTTGAATCTTTTTATGGAGTTCAGGGTGCCAATTGGAGCTTTTTTGAGTTCGGGGGTCAAATTGAACAATCCGGAAAGGTACAGGGGCCTATTTGACCCTTTAGCCTTAGTTAAATGACTTTTTTTGTTTTGACTTTTTATCCGCCCCATGACATAACTAAGTGGACCAGCCCTGCACCATGACCCGCACGAGTCATTAGATGTTGGCCCATCACCCACCCCATGCAGGGTGTTCGCTCCGCCCGCCCCATCCCGCACTACAATAACCTAATAGCTAGTACACACTCCTAATTTTGTGAAGTTATTATAGCTTGAATTTTACTCAAACTTTGTCTTCAAATAATTATAAAAAACAAATATAATAAATCATAGTCACAATACAATAAAAAGTTTCAAAAATTAAGAAAGGATAGTATGGACTTAAATAGTTAACTATTTATTTATGAATAAATGAATATATAAATGCTAAATATAAAAAACACATTAACAATTAACTTTTAATCTAGTTCCAAATGTAAACATTAACATATTAAAAGATCAAGGAATTCATGAATTATCACTCACTCATATGTATCTACACACACACACACACACACACACACACACACACACACACACACACACACACACACACACACACACACACATATATATATATATATATATATATATATATATATATATATATGTATGTATGTGTGTGTGTGTGTGTGTGTGTGGGGTGGGGGTGGGGGGTGGGGGGGTATAATTTAAAAAAAGATATATATCTATATATTAACAATTAACTTTTCATCTAGTTCAATGCTAATTATTAGTATAATTTTAAAGTGCTAAATTATTATTTATTTTTATAAATGAAATATTAGTGGCACATGAAAGATAATTAGAAGTTATGAATTTTGATATATATTTTTAGACTATCAGAGTACAAAAAAGGATTAACACTTTAAAATAATAAATTTCTTAAAGTGCTAATTTTAGTACCTATAAAATATTAGTGTCATATGAAAGATAATAAAAATTTATAAATTTTGCTATATTTTTTAAAACAATCGGAGTACAAATAAACAGACTACAATACATTGAAATACAAAATGATTGTAAAGTGCTAAATTATTTTTTAATTTTATACATGCAATATTGGTGTCATATGAAAGATAATAAATAGTTATGAATTAGAATACTTTTTTTAACAATTGGAGTACAAATTAAAAAAAATATAGCATTTTTAAAAAAAATATTGGATAGTTTATTTTATTGGTTCCCGCGAGTGCTCTTCTCATGCACTTTAAAAATATTTTGTATTTTAAAGTATTACGTAGTGTAATTTTTTACGTGTACTCTGATTGTTTTAAAAAATATACCAAAAATTCATAAATTTTTATTATCTTTCATATGACACTAATATTATGGTGACTAGAATTTGTCTAGCACTATTCTGGGAAATAATTTAACCCAACATCAATTGTGTAAATATTTTTTATGCAGTATTATTTAAAAAAAAACTCGTATTTTTTAAGAGTGATATTTAGAGCCCATTTGGTAATACTGAAATCGACTGAGTCGACCGATTCTGCTGAAATTTATGAAGTTTTGGCTTAAATGACTTATTCTGCTGATTTATGAAAAAAATTATATTTAAAATATATATTATTAATAAAATAAAGTAAAAATTATATGAAAACAGCTAAAATGGTCATCTATAGTAACTGTAGCCAATGCAAATAGAAAATTAACTTCAATCTTATTTTTCTCTTATTATTAAATAATTCAACGCGCGAAATCAAAAGTTACACGTTTCGTTAAAAAATTTGGTTGATAAGCCAAAAAAGAGAGTTGCCAAACGAGGTCTTATGCCCTGTCTGGATAAAGTGAACTTAAGTAAACCTAGTGCAATAAAGTAAACCTTAAGTTTTAATAAAAACTAGGTTAACCTAAGTGAACCCAAGTTCATATGTTAAATAGTGTTTGGAAATAAATATTGTTTGGATGTAATAAATATTGTTTGGATGAAAGTGCTCTATCTCATTTTATGTTAAACGGGAACTTAACCTCCAATCCCCTCCTTTACTTTAGAGGTTCTTCAATTTAAGGGTTT